GTTCAGAGATGTAACTGTCTGCGATACTGTGGTCACTTTCCATGTAGCATCAATTATGCTAATGCTAGCTGTCATGTTCTCTCGTCCTGGCCACACCTACGCTCTCTAACCCCCTCCCCTACCCACTTTGATGCATTTTTCAAATTTCACCTTGGGGCGGAGTTATCTTTTCACGGGGGGTGGGGGATACACTTTAAGGATCTGTGGGAACCCTGAACACGCGTCAACAGTGTAGCAGCTGGYTAACGTCGTAGCCATTGTGTAACTCAAATAACATTTCGGCCGGCAAAAGTGCGCTGATTTTAACAGGACCTATTTTTTGCGAAGCTTCGAGGCAGATAATTTTGCCTCGAGGATTTTTAGTAATTGAAATACTCGAGGAATCGTTTCAGCCCTGTTTCATAGATCAGCAGCCACTCACCACTTCTGTAGAGGTCTCTGTGTGCTCCGCAGCCACGTGCTCCTGCAGAGAGATCTCCGTGTAGCCCATCCTGCCACAGTAGGGACAAGTGAAGGCCTGGGGCTGTTCCACCGAGAAGGCTTCCCCACCATAGTACAGGTCTGAGAGGAAGTAAAGACAGGTACGCTTTAACTGTTGGCAGCGCGGGCAGAAACGGTCGACTGAGCATCGCACCTCAGTTGTAGCTCCAGAATCTGCCGTCTGAAACGCCACTTACCRAAGTCGACCCGTGTCAGTATGCACTGCATGGGATGCTCTGTGGTGTGTCTGGTCGTGGTGGCACCGCTCTCGTAGCACGACGCGCACAAATCGTAGTCGTAGCAAATTAAACATTTGTATCGACGACCTCTGAAGTTTCCTTTCAAACACGCATCACAGCTCACACCTAAAGAAAAAAAACAAACACAAAAAATGTTAGAATTTCAACATCAGGTGAGTGTTTTTTCCACTTATTATAAAATGAACTTAATTTTACTCGTATTGATTTGGTTTATCACAAGGTCTAATTCTCTCAATTATTCTTAAGCAGTTTCACATCTCTTTTACTCTTGTTTAAAACAATAAATCCAGGTTTTAAGACACATTTATTCACAAGATTGGCAACTATATGCTTAGAACTGTATAGATAATTTGGTTGGTAAACATTTTCCTTAAGGATGTGAAGGATTAGGTTTATATTTATCTTTATATTGAGTCAAACCTTCCAGAAAACAAAAACGTAGACAACTAATGTCATTTTGCCTTTAGTTTATAATATTATTGCCAAGTTTTGTTTATCAATGCCCTRCTTCCACTGACGTAACTGAATATTTGTTTTCATTTTGGTGAAGATAAAGTACTTATATTAACATGACATAAAATGCATTAAAACAAAAACAGTCGCATAATTARAATAAAAGCATAGGTGCAACCACGCAGAGGGTTTAAAACATAAAATTGAAGCACAAAAAACAGCATGAAAAGAGGCAGATTTTCAGCTCTGCAACCTGACTTTATAAGGAAAGCTGTTCTTTTATCTGGGATCCCGGACGGTCCTGTCATGTTCTGCAAAAACAGGTAGGAGGCCTGGATGTGAAGACCGTAGGGGTCTATTAGGACTGTGGAATATTAAAGATGCAAGCAGACATGTTTAAAGTTTGACAGATCAAAAGGTATCCTGAAGATGAATATGTAACTTCTCGTTTGGTATTAAAGTTAGTTTCAAAACACTCTTTTCAAAGGAAATTAATTTGGCACAAACAGTTTTCAACTTGGCTCAAACAATATTAGGCATTAAAGTAACTTGATTTATAAGTACTATTGAGCTAGAAATACCCACTGTTACTCAATACAGCTCTAGTAGTAAGATGGACCACCGCATATGAAAGGGGTGGGCACATGATGAGGTTTAAACCCATTCGGAAGTTGTTGCATGGCCAAACGGGAGCCTGTGTGTTCAGATTGACTGTGACAGTCGTGCAGCCTGTCTTCAGCCCCACATATTCACAGCCAGGGGGACCTTAAAGCCCAAAGCAAACTTGATCCGGCGGCTGCTACAGGAACGCCAAGTCCTGCAACCAGCACGAGAAACCCCCCACGGATAAACAACACAACGGCTGCTGACAGCAAAGTTCACAAGAATAAACAGGAACAAAAGACACTGCCCAAGCCAGGCCCCGACTTGACCTCTGCAGCCGGCCAAATAACTACACAACCATTATTATTATTCGACACAAACATGCAACTTCAACAAGGTTAGCCGCAAGGACGGGGTGATACTTATGCTAGCTAACCAAACTGGAATTTTCAGGCCAACTTTCAACAGAAAAGGCTAAACTAGCTAATGTGAATCATAAAAACAAAGCTTCGACCTTTTCCCAACGCCATCTGGGATTCGCTACCCTCTAATGTTGCCTATTTTCGGCACTCCTCCTCCTCCTGCTCGTCAACGATCACCTGCATTACCAAAATGCCTGTTAGCACTTAGCTAACTAGCGTCTTCCGCCTCTGTGACAGCGCCGACTGAAGTGAAATGATGCAGAATGGACACGAAAAACTCGAACCGCAAGTCCATTAGATGAGACGTACGTTTATGCGGCCGCCAAAATGCGTGCACGTAAAACTCAGCCGCGGCGTTGATACTACGACTAGCTAGCGTTAGCTGCAACATAAGGAATTGTCGGCTAGTCAGAGTTAGCTCGCGGTGCACTTGTCAGCGGTTTGTCGTGAGAAATTCCCAATTAGCCGCAGCTCTGTGCTAAAACGCTTTAATACCTTCATGACGGGACATCCTACGAACACAAACTCAGCCCCCTGCTCGGGCTCCCGGGTCTGCGACGTAGAGTTTAAGGTTAAGAGAAGAGGAGCCGGGGCTGTGCGCCTGTCCCTGGCCTCTTCCCTCATGAAGGATCCGGTTTGGCTCACTGCCGCCTCCTTCCGCCTGCTGCTGTGTCACTGACTGTCCCGCCGCACCGTCCACACGGGGGCGCTGTTCTCCCATTTATAGTCAGAATGAGAAAGGGTTATTTGCGGAATCTAAGTGGGCGTGTCACAAGAGTGGGCGTGTCTAAAGCATAAACACTGTGGGCCACGAGGCATGATGGTATCCTGCTCAACTTCTATACCAGGGGTTCTCAAACTTTTTGGGTCTGGGGACTCCGACCCCCTTAATAAACCCCATGCTGTTTTAAAGATAGTTTACTGTCATTTTACCTCCTAAATGCTATGGGAATATTATCTTTTGTTTGGTTTAGTATGTTTGTTTTACTAGGGCATTGTTCCCCATTTTCATTTTTTAAATAAAATCCAAATTAATAATTTATTGAAATCTTTTGAGGACCCCCAAGACATGACTTGTGGACACKTGAGGGTCCTGGGACCCCAGTTTGAGAACYTCTGCTCTATACAGCCTGACCCCAACACTAAGGTTAACCAGGAGAAATGTGACCCAAGTAGGGGTCTCTCCAGAAAAAGTGGTGCCGTACGGTAACGCCCCTTTTGTTCTTGTCCAATCAGGTGTGTCTCTTTAAAAAAGTCCGTCAAATCAGGTGTGTCGCTTTGGAATGGCCTTTCGTTGGGACACGCCCACTTGTCCGCAGAGACCCCACTTAATCATAGTAGCTCTGATTACTTTTTTAATCCACCTGACAGTTACCATTTGTATTTTATTATAAATTGCAAATGACCTTAAATTAAACCAAAATGAAATTACAACACATCATATTAATATATCCTCATAATAAAGCTGTTTTTCTCTGAGCTCATCAAAATTACAGCAAAATCCATTTTCTTTACCTGCTCTTTTTTTTTTCAGGTCATGCCTATTATGCATAAATGAGTAAAAAGTATAAGTGACATAAACAAAAAAAAGTTAAAGCTGCTCTCTTCCTGCTCTTCTTGGTTGTGTTTGTGCAGCAGAGTGTCTATCTGTGGGTTCTGGCCATGTTCTGCTCAACAGAKCCGAAGCAGAACAGGTCAGCACAGTGCAGAAGCAAACTGGCGCTCAAACTTGGCAGCTCGCTGAGGTAAGTGGATGGAAAGAATAATACGCCTTCACAGGAGGCTGCTTTAACTTTGAAGGTAAATGGACGCACCAGTTTCTGACATCAGGCTGATGCTGGGGAGTTATGGACTTCATTTTTGATATAAATTAAAACAAAAAAAAAAAGAAGACTGTCTGATGCTGTTTGTTGGTCCCACTACTGAAATCCAGCTTCCGTGTTTATCCAAAGCTACACGTTTAAAACCCCACCCCGCTTTGTGATGTTTAAACATTCTTCTCTGGAAGCCTGAACTCTGGCTGTATCTCACACAAAAATGCTAAAAGATAAAGAAAATCAGACTTACTGTATCTCAGAACTCTGCGTTTATGTCACTTATCTTTAAAGCCCAGCATTGTTGAGTCTACCCTCATGAATCGTTACTTTCTGATGCAGTTTCAAAAGAGACCAGGAGGTTTGATAATTTAGGCATTTTATTTACTTTTTTTTTTTTTCAGAAGTCTACAGTCAACAGAAAGATGAGTCTTTCCTCCTTGATGATGAACAGAAATGAATGAACCAAAGGATGCAGACGTGTCAAAAGGAGCTAAAAAAACAAGTTATTTTGAATATTAGTCTAAGTAAGACATGCAAAAACTCAAGGATTAAGACCCAAGTGAGAACTGGACAATCATAGGGGCTGGGGGCTGATGAGAGAAGCGGCTGCAGCTGCGACGAGTAAAACAGGTAACAGGCGCGGCAGGCTGACTGGAAAAGCGAGAAAGAAGTGGATGGTGGTGCAGAGGAAACACGAGGAAATGAAAACTGAACACAAGAAACACTAATCCATAAAGGAAATAAACACAAAAACCATTAAGAAACCAACAAACACAGATCATGACACTAATGAGAAACATAAATATTGTGCACATGTTGTAATTTCAGTTAGGTTGCACGTATTTACAAAACTTCTACTTTAAATCAGCATCAGTCACTCAGACCTCTGYATCATTTTCACCAAAAAGCTTTGAAGGTAATTAGATCCTTAAGGAAGACATTTCAAAATAAAGCGAAGACCCTTCAAAGCTCACTGATGCTAACGAGCAAATTATTTATAAACCCCGGAGATGACCTCATCATTTGAACTCCAGTGCCCTCCTGAGAATCCCACATCTTTAAAAGCACCGTACTATTAATACGCAGGTGCTAAAAATAACACCAGTTATTTTGGGTGCTGTGTCTCTCACTCGTACTCTTCTCTGAGAAAAACGATTAAACTCTAAATGTCTGAATAAAAAAACTAAAAGAATTCACAAAGAAAGGTTTTGGTAGTTCTTGTCTCCAGGGCAGCTCCTCCCTTTCAGATTGGACAGGTTTTTACTTAGGTTAAAGATTAGAACCAGTTTGGAAGAACATCTTGGGTATAACATCTTGTTACGATTAGTATTCAGTGTTTCTTTTCACCTGAATTTGGGAACTTATCTACAGCTCAGTCAGTCAAAAAGAATGGGTGGATTAGCTGTTTTGCATCATCGACTTGTCTGTGTCCATCACWCTGGTCTCTTCTGGCACATCTTCTGCATCACATTTTGCAGGATTTGAAACCATTTACCTCTTTGCCTTTCTAGAGAATTAAAAATTAGTTTGATACAAACTAGTTAGTGGTTTAATTCACCTCCAGAATAAAACTGAGTTGTTAGTTACAACTGAAATAGTTTGATTGAAATGATCTAAAATGTAAAAAGAAACGTCTATTGAGTCATTCAGTTCTATATAAATACCTTTATGCCCCTTTTCCACTAGTGCCACTTAGTGTAGTGTCGGTACGGTTGGGTATGGTTCCAAGCCATTTCCATTAGGCCAGATCCATGGAACCGGCACTTTTTTTAGTACCTACTTCATTGTGGTTCCAACCGGCCCCAGCTGACACCAAAATGCGACGTCAGAACACTGTTCGTCACTGATTGGCTAAATTTTTGCAAATGTTTAAAATTTCAAAAGTTATTCATCAAATGTGTTTCCATCTCTCATTTTGCCCATTAATTTTTATTCAAAATACCTAAAAACCACCTCCACCAACCGCTCAAAACACACCCATTGGAACCGGACTGGAACATCAGTGGAAAACCACCCGGTCCGACCCGTACCTACACCGACCGTTCCGACACTACACTAAGTGGCACTGGTGGAAAAGGGGCATTAGTCTCCAGGTCTTCACCTCAGCTGCAGTCTGGCATTGTGCTTCCATGACCGACTGACCTGCATACCTACACATCCATTCATCCATCCATCCATCCATCCATCCATCCATCCATCCATCCATCCATCAACCAATCTACATTCACATCCATCCATCCATCCATCCATCCAGCCATCCATCCATCCATCCATCGACCAATCTACATATCCATCCATACATCCATCCATCCATCCATCCATTGACCAATCTACATATCCATCCATCCATCCATCCATCCATCCATCCATCCATCCATCGACCAATCTACATTCACATCCATCCATCCATCCATCCATCCATCCATCCATCCATCCATCGACCAATCTACATTCACATCCATCCATCCATCCATCCATCCAGCCATCCATCCATCCATCCATCCATCCATCGACCAATCTACATATCCATCCATACATCCATCCATCCATCCATCCATCGACCAATCTACATACTGTATCCATCCATACATCCATCCAGCCATCCATCCATCCATCCATCGACCAATCTACATATCCATCCATCCATCCATCCATCCATCCATCAACCAATCTACATTCACATCCATCCATCCATCCATCCATCCATCCATCGACCAATCTACATTCACATCCATCCATCCATCCATCCACCCAGC